TCAGACCCTTAAAAGACTATATGTGACATGTGTTTGAAAGAAGTGTATACAATTTGAAAAATGTGTAACAGAGTAAAAAATGTTCATGTAGTTTATAAAATTTTTATTGTCGTTAAGAAAATGTAAAACATGTATTTGGAAAAATATTACCGTGTATTCAAAAAAGAATTGAAAACATGTATATTAAAAAATATACGTAATGTATTTGAAAAATGTCGAAAGTGTATAAAAAATATTCCATGTCTGTGCTAAAAACGTACGTTGGCTACCGAGAATAATTAGACTTGTGTAAAAAAGAAAACCAGTTACCGGTAAAGAAACAAAATAAAAGCGAAAAACTAGAGCAGCACGAGCAACTCACCTAGTGGGCCGGCCCAATTCAGCGAATCCCAGCTAAATCCTTTCGAGGTTCAAAATAGTCCGGGATCCGAGAGTTTGGTGTGCTGATTTCAGGGATTTAGAGTTCAGGGTTTCATTTAGCTTTCGCCTACAAATTTAAGGTTTAATTTGAACTTTTTCCTTTTCTTTTTGAGGTGCTGGTTGGCCTGTACTTTTATGTGTCAGCCTAGCACTAGGGACAGCAACAGCCCGTGAGCGATCGATTCGATTCGAGGGCCTCCACCACCACCACTCCGGATAATGTTTTCTGCTGGGTTTCCCTCTCGAGGGAATAGTGCGGAGCCGGAGTGCGTCCTCGGCCTCTGCCTCGCACGGACCGGAAGCGCACAGATGCGCCTAATAATGGCCGCCCGTTTTGTCTTGTTCTTTACCGAAGCCGAAACCGATCGCCCGAGTCCCATTCCCACCCCCACCCACTCCCTCCAATACCGGCACCGGCCCTCCTCCTCCTCCTCCTCTCTGCGCGATCCTATTGATCCTCCCCCGCGCCGCACGTACGTCTTCCGCGAGAGAGAGAGGCGAGTGGAGAAGGGAGTCGAGGAAGAGGACATGGCGGCGGCGGTGAGGGTGGACAAGGCGACGAGCGACCTGCTGCTGGGCCCCGACTGGACCCTCAACATCGACATCTGCGACGCCGCCAACTCCGATCACGGGTTAGTTCGCTCCCTCGGCCTCCTTCCTCACTCCTCGATCCCTTCCCGCGCGACCGCTCAAAATCCGATTTCTCGATCGGTTCCTTCCTTCACGCGCAACCGCAGCACGAAAAATCCCGTTTTCGCCGGTAGGAGCCACAGTACCACTTCCTCGCCTTAACATCCCAAATGGATCATCGCCACGCGCCAAGGCTTGTTAGGTCTGTAAAGATGGCGGCTTATCCCTTGCACTAGACTAGACATGTTTATCACCCCAAAAGAAACTGCACTAAGACTAGACATGTTTCAGTTCAGGAAAAGCAGAGCATCACATGTAGTAGTGGCGAACTCTGAAAGATGGACCTCATGCTTAGTATGGTGCTCTAGATTGGCTAGCTGTCCAGGTTAAGGCACACACCAGGACCTCTTGGTCTAACCGCTGGAGCTCTAGTAGACTGCCATAATTCTTTCTCTAAAAGATTTACTGCACTAGACATGGACATCTGAGCCGTCACACCATTTTAATTATTTCCTGCATTGACTAGTCTGTCGCCAGGTTTAAGGTATTGACAAGGTTGGGTAATCCTACCCCACACATCAGCAGGATATATAGGTCAAGTGACTGATGCATTTTGCTGCTCAGAAAAAAAAAATGTAATCAATCAAATAAAGCACATATTCACACCTACTTTCTCAAGGACCATGCTTCAAATACTTTTGAAACCAATTTATGATACCACCTGTCACTCTTATGGGCGAGCTTCATCACCGCTAACCAAATATGTCATGGTAGCTCTCATCTGCAACATGCTCCAAGTGGTTACAAGTTTGCAGCCTGATTTTGTGTGGTCACGACATTAATGCGAGACAGGCGCAGAGAGCAGATTATCTGCTTAAAAAATTTCCGACTTCTTTCCTATGAAAGTAAATAATTGTTTGTGCTTACAATAAAGCAATGATTCAGGCAAGCAAAAGAGGTGATTAAAACTCTGAAGAAGCGTCTTCAACACAAGAATTCATCAGTTCAGTCTCTTGCATTGACGGTACGTTTCTCTGCTTGACAGCTTAAGTAAAATTTTAGCCCTGCTTTGTTTGTGCTTGTGTGAGAATACCATGAATTGGGATTGCAGCTGTTGGAGACTCTGGTGAAAAATTGTGGGGATCATGTGCATTTTCTGGTTGTAGAGCGCGGTATATTGCAAGAAATGGTCAAACTTGCCAAGAAAAAGGTTAGTCTTCTAATACATGCTGTTGTACAGTTTGTTCTCCAGAAAAGCCACTGAATCTTTATTTTCTGAATCATGGAACTAAGAACTACAGTATATTATGTAGGTAAAATTCCTTCCATCTTCTGGTAAATACATGGCTTCACACCCTATTTAACATACTCTGAGTTGACATGAGCATAATCATGAGATGCATTAATGTTTTGGAAGACACATACATATGTTCTTATCCGGCCAATGTCAAAAAATTGACGTAGCTCCATGGCTTTAGACCGATTAGTTAAGGTCTGAATTTTTGAAACAGACAAATCTCAGGTGGTCACGGCATCATGGCAAACTGTAGATCTTTTAAATTTGCACTCCCGGCACTGCTACCTGAGGAAACTGAGATATGCAGGATTTCTTCTCAAACTTATTGGGTAGTAATTTTGTTTTTAAGTTTTTCCCCTTTTTAATCAAATTCATAAGATCTTGACGTTCCATTTGGCATCCATGTGTATTCATCCAATCTTTGCTCTTACAGTCAGTGAACTTTCTAAACATTACATTTACTATGGCTCTCTGTCTAATAAATTCTAATTACCATATGTATCATAAATTTTGTGTTCTCTAAAAGTTCGTTTTTGTGGTATTGATTAAAATTCTTCAGTATAACTACAGGCAAATGTGCAAGTGAGGGACAAAATTTTGACACTCCTGGATTCCTGGCAAGAAGCATTTGGTGGGCCTGGTGGGAAGCACCCTCAGTTCTACTGGGCATATTCTGAACTTAAGGTATTTTTATTATCTGCTAAACCATCCAGAACAACCTACACTTCATGACACACCCTTTTATTCTTCAACTTTCGAAAGTCACCCATCAGATATGTGAATCTGGTACATAAAGTTGTTCAACCCTGTATCATTTTCTTTGGCATGTCCCAATGAGCCTCTTTAATTGCAGCAATCTGGTTTAGAATTTCCTAGGCGCTCACCTGAGGCAGCAACAATATTCGCCCCTCACCTTCAACCAGGGATCGGGAGTCCAGTCAATTCATCCTTGAGAGCTGATGGGATGATTTCATCTAGTGGCTCTCCTCTGAGGTAACCATTTATTATATATTTTTATGCATCTTTTGTGTGCTCCATGTTAGTGTCTGAGAAAACGGATGAAATGTGTTCCATGTTATATGACATATTTTTATCTGTTTAGTTTGTCAGACCTGCAACGCATTTTAAGTGCCGCGGAGCTACTAAGTGAGATGCTGAGAGAAGTGGATCCAAATGATCATGAGGTATATAGATTTATTATGTTTTTTCTTCTCGCTGTTCTTCTATTTCTTTATTCTTTTGCAGAAGAAAGAACTTAATTAATTTGGAACAGTACTATTACAATGGTTCTGAAGCAACTCGAACACACACATCGGAGCCGTGAAACACAGAATGCATAGTCCACTAGGCTAGTTCAGCCAACAAATGAGCTACTCCATTAGTCCATGGTTCACTTGAACTTCTGGCGACAAGTGCATGGCAGATTTCGCCAATTCTCAGTATGCTTGACTCCAATTTGATTATTCTCTAGCAACCGCTATGAAATTCTCACTCTTGTACTTTGAGCTCTTTCCAAAAACAAAACTGCCCAACATTGATCGGAGTGAACTTCCGACTCCTTGCTTCTTGCTTTTCACCCTTGCCCTTCCAGCTAACCCCTCCTGATCGGCCTGGCGAGGGCTGGGGGCGACGCGGCCTGGCGTTCCTGGGCATCGGGCAGGCAGCGAGGTGACCAGCAGCTCTTCTCATGGGCGGGTGGAGGCAGGATAGCGGGTGGTCGGTGGAGTCCTAGGCCTCGGACGGTGGTGGCGGGGTTATGCGTGGAGAGCCGATGGGGCGCGGGGCTGGCATAGTGATTGCGGCTGCTCGACGGCCAGAGTTGCCGGCTGCCTTGGCGGGCCCCCATCTGGATCTGGGATGCCCAGATCTGATGGGGTGGCGTCCGCCCTTCCCAGGTGCGTTGGTTGGCAGTAGGGCGGCAACGTGGACTGGCCACCGGTGCGGGAGTTTGACGTGGTCCTCCTGCCCGGAGTTCGTTGCTC